GGGGGGCGCGGGGCTACGCGCCCCCCCCACCCTTTCCCCTCCTCTCTTCCTCTAAATCCCTTGGCTTTTGAACGGCCTGGTTGCAGGGGCGCCATTTCCAGCCTCGATTCTCCGCCGCGCATTTAACGCATCGCTCCAAAAACCCGCGGATCTCATTGCTGAAACTTTCCCGGTCGTCTTCTAGCCCTCGCACACCGTTCGCTAGGGAAAAGACACATTTCTAACTTGTGCTGGCTAACAGAAACCAGGGAAAATAGTTGTTGTTAACCGGCTACAAAGGCACGTGAGATGACGCTTGCTCTGGCGTGTGGATAGCAAGGGAAGAGCGCAGCGGTGAAGCGTGAAACCTCGCTTTTTTTAATTATTTCCTGAAGAGAGAGACGAAAGACGTTTTAGGTCAGCCAAAGAGATGACTTCCATGGTCATTTGATCGCTAACTAACAGAAAGCTGCTAGGAAATGGGGTCGACAGCTCCTGAGCAAACCCTGAAAATATTCAAACCACAGCAGGAAAAGGGAACGGGCTAAGAGAACGTACGCAATATATGCTCCAAAGGAATGAAAAAGCAGCACAAAAACCCAAAGCCGGGTGTCCAGAGGGCTGCGCAGCTGCAGCATGTCCCAGTCAGATCAGTGCAAGCTCCGGGGACGGTGGATGCAGGCACTGAATGACCTGGTATCTGTCAGACCCAATTGCAGAGCAGGCATTTTGATCACAGGTGGCAAAAGACGGGTTTTTCATTGTCGCTTCTCCAACAGACAGAATCACAGAATGGCCGAGGTTGGAAGGGACCTCTGGAGATCATCTAGTCCAACCTCCCTGCTCAAGCAGGGTCCTCTACAGCATATTGCCCAGGATCGCATCCAGGCGGGTTTTGAATATCTCCAGCGAAGGAGACTCCACTACCTCTCTGGGCAACCTCTTCCAGGGCTCTGTCACCCTCACAGTGAAGAAGTCTTTCCTCAGGTTCAGATGGAACTTCCTGTGGTTCAGTTTGTGCCTGTTGCCTCTTGTCCTGTCACT